CAAGTTACTAAGTAAGTTTGTGGTTGTAATTCTGGAAATATTGTGTATGTATAATAAGATACCACAAATGAATAAAAATTTTCATGTGACTAAGAAACAGGGTTTTCACCTTGGAGTAGGCCAGATAAAAATATGGAATAAGAAAACTTAAGAACACTAAGATATTAAGTGTGTGATTTTAATGTACATTTCCTGTCTGTCTCTAGAGGTGTGTAGAAGCAATAAGGCCTCAGTAGTTATTGCACACACCATGCCCACATCTTGGTTTCTAAAAAGTATTTCACATCAAGAAAAGAAAGCAGGGAGGAATGGAGGGAGGGAGGGAGGGAAGAAAGAAAACAAGGACCCTAGGAAAAATGGGTGATCCCAGGTCTGAGCAGGAACAGTACAAAGTGAACTTGGGGGATTGTGTTGTGCTGAAGTCTAGGAAATGCTCAACGAGTAATGAGGTCCTGTCAAAGCCACCAAGGAGTGACTTGAACTGGGAAAACTTGAGATAATTAGGGCATAAAAAAATCATAATGGTGATGAATTAAAATGTGTTGAAATTCATAGGAATAATATTTAACAAGTAAAAGAAAGAAAACTGGGGGAAAGAAAGTCTTTTCTCTAGAAGAATGTCAGCTAGTAAATGTAGAAGGAATGCTGGAATTAGGAACTCAGTATTTTGTAATTCCCAATGCAATAACTGATTCAAACATAAATCATAAAGGGATATTAAATCATTGGGTGAAGAATTTCTGGGGTCCAGAATGTTCACATGGTCTCAGAGTACTACTCCTCAGATTAATTACTGGTTACAAAGAGGACATTTTATCTCAACAATGCAGAGATGTAGCAGTCGCTTTCTTGACCAAGCGATTAAACACAGAGTCCCCAAGAGTGAGAAAGCCTGACACCACATGCCTCCTGATGCAATGCAAGGAAAAAAGAAACACCTTGACAAAATTCCCCATCTGAATTTACTCAGGAGGACAAAATCAGACAAATAAAAAAAATGGGACATAATACAAGACAACAGACTTAGTTACTTCAGAAGTGACAATGTCATAGGGCAACAATTTTCAACCGGTGTACCATGGGAATTTTTAAGATATGCAATACCTGAACTTCTGGCCAAGATGGAGGCATAGGTAGATACACTGTGCCTCCTCGCACAGTGAAAAGAAGGGCAACAACAAATTTAAAAACAAAAAACAACCAGAATGGACAGAAAATCAAACTGTATGAAAGACAACCAAGCTGTTAAGGAAGAAACATTCATCCAGACTGGTAGGAAGGGAGAGACAGCAGCAGGGCAGGGAGAACTCACGGCAAGAAGGCAGCTGGAGGTCCAGGGTTGGCAAAGCGAAAACTGGGAGAACATGAGGTCCCACATTTGCATGCAGATAAACTGGGAAGAACAACTGGGGAGCAAGACAGACCATGCAAAGCAGGGTTCCAGCATGAAGAAATAAAGCCTCAAAACCTCTGATTGAAAAAACCTCTGGGGGTTGAGGTGGCAGGAGAAACTCCCAGCCTCACAGGAGAGTTCATTGGAGAGACCCACAGAGTCCTAGAATGTGCACAAAACCACCCATCTGGGAATCAGCACCAGAAGGGCACAATTTGCTTGTGGGTAGTGGAGGAAGTGACTGAAAGTCAGATGAGAGCTGAGCAAGTGGCACTGTTCCCTTTCTGACCCCTTCCCCACATACAGCACCACAATGCAACAACATGGGTAGCCCTGGCCTGGAAAATACCTAAAGCTCAGCCCCTTACTATGTAACAGGAGCACTGAGACCAAAAAAAAAAGGCCCAAATGAAAGAACAGATCAAAGCTCCAGAAAAAATACAACTCAGCAACAAAGAGATAGCCAACTTGTCAGATGCACAGATCAGAATGCTGGTAACTGGGATGCTCACAGAATTGCTTGAGTATGGTTGCTAAATAGAGGAAAAAGTGAAGGTTATGAAAAATGAAATAAAGAAAACATACAGGGAATTAACAGTGATGGGAAGGAAACCAGGACTCATCAACAGTTTGGGCCAGAAGGAAGAAAGAAACATTCAACCAGAACAGAATGAAGAAACAAGTATTCAAAAACTTGAGGAAAGACTTAGGAACCTCCAGGACAACTTTAAATGTTCCAACATCTGAATCATATGGTTGCCAAGAAGGGAAGAGAAGAACTAGAAATTGAAAACTTATTTGAAAACATAATGAAGGAGAACTTCCCCAATCTGGCAAAGGAAATAGATTTCCCGAAGGAAGCTCAGAGAGTCCCAAAGAAGTTGGACCCAAGGAAGCACACACCAAGACACATCATAATTACATTGCCCAAGATTAAAGATAAGGAGAGAATCTTAAAATCAGGAAGAGAAAAAGACACAGTTACCTACAAAGGAGTTCCCATAAGACTGTCAGCTGATTTCTCAAAAGAGACCTTACAGACAAGAAGGGGCTGGAAAGAAGCATTTAATGTCATGAAAGGCAAGGACCTACATCTAAGATGACTCTATCCAGCAAAGCTATCATTTAGAATGGAAGGGCAGATAAAGTGCTTCCCAGATAAGGTCAAGTTAAAATAGTTCATCATCACCAAGCCCTTATTATATGAAATGTTAGAGGAGCTTATCTAAGGAAAAGAAGATGATCAAAATCATGAACAATAAAATGACAACAAACTCACAACTATCAACAACTGAACCTAAAAAATAAAATGAAAACAAAACCAAACTAAGCAAACTAAGCAAACAACTAGAACAGGAACAGAATCACAGAAATGGAGATCATATGGAGGGTTATCAGTGGGGAAGAGGAGGGGGGAAATGGGGTAAAAGGTACAGGGAATAAGTAGCATAAATGGTAGATAGAAAATAGAGGAAGGTTAAATACAGTATAGGAAATGTAGAAGTGAAAGAACTTATATGTATAACCCATGGAAATGAACTAAGGGGCAGGGGGAATGTGGGTGGGAGAGGGTGTGTGGGGCAGAGGGGAATAAAGGTGGGGGAATGGAACAACTGTAACATCATAATCAATAAAATATATTTTAAAAAAAGGAAAAAAAGAGACATGTAATACCTGACTAGTCAGGGGTACTGACCTCTTTTTCTTATGATTGCCAAATAAAAAATTGACAACAGCTAACACAACAGTAGCTGTCCAGTGTGAACAAATAAAAATTATACCTATTTTTTGTCAGATCGACAAAAAATATGATACATTTTTTTGGTGTGCAGCAGAATTTTAGTAATTTGTTTATGTGTGCCATGAGATGAACCAGGTTGAAAATTGCTGCCATAGTGGAAAAAAACAGACATCTAGCCAAACTGAGAGCTTGATAACACAAAGAAAAGTTTTGAAATTTTTTCATCAAATGGAGTAAACTGGCTAACTGCTTAATTGACCTCTGTCAAGAGAATGTCTTGGGAAATGAAAAAAAAATTAACTATCTTGCTGTTAAAACCCAGTTTTCTCAGCTCTAATTGGGCAAATGCCCCACAGTTTCATTTTATATCTTGTCAAAGGACCACCTGCTAGGACAAATCCTAGCAGGATTTGGACATCTACAAATGTCCAAAAAAGATGTTGATTCCTGGTCTCACATCCATTCTACACATGGACTTCTGGCCCATTGTTGGCAGTTGCCTCCAGTCCCATGTGGGGGCACACAAGAGAACCTCCAGACTGTCTCTCCTCCTTTCAGTAAGTGATGTCTCTCACAACCAACTCACCTTTCAGAGAGGTTGAGGATTAACCTGCAAACATAATTTATTCTATTTATGATAAATGCTTTATGAAATTGTTTCTAGATGACAGAAAGCACACACAAAGTTTTGCTGCAAGAGAACAACGTGCTTGTCCTTTGCCTTTTCTTTTGGGTCTAATTTCTTCCTGACTCAGCCTGACTCCATCTAGTGTTAGTTTCGGAAACTTGAATTGTGCCTCCCTTGTCTTCAAAACTCCTTGCTTTTTAGAGGAGTTCTGATAGGACCCATGCCAAGAGCAGTTCCCTATGCCTGGTGATGGAATGTATCCTGGGGGAAGTTCCAGCCAGCCAATAAGACCCAATTTCCAAAACCAAGAGTTATCCACCTCTCCCCATCCTTCATTTCTTCCTTCCCTTCCTTCACTTACTTGCCTTCCTCCTGCTCCCTTCACATCCCTTTTCCTGTACTTCACTTTCACAGTGTTTATTGTTTGAGTGACAACAGTAGCCACCTCACCTGAATTATGGAAATGGCCTCCTATGTCTCTGGTATGTTAGAATAATCCAGAATTTAGACACACACAAAACTGAAAAGCTTCTGATATGATCATACACAGCAACATAAAACCATAGCAGCTACTCATTTGTGTTATACTATGCATAGCAGCATCTTCACAAACACAAACATACGTGTGCCAGTCATTCATTATACATCATCACAGTTTCTTCCAGTCCCTCATCCTGCTAGTATGCTGCATGCTCAGACACACACACCAGAATTAAGAATTGGTTTTTGTGAAATGTTACATTTTTGAGAATTCCAGTACTAAGATATCCTTGAAATAGAGTCTGCAACAAGCTCGGGAGACTTCCAGGGCACCAGAATTTCCAAAACCAAGTACCTTAACTCAGAGAGTATCTTCAGTGTGTGTGGGTAGTTTGGCTGGCATGGGTGAGGGGAATATTGCTCACCCATGGGTGAGCGTAAGAGCACTACGCTAGAATCTCCATCTGAGCACTCTATCATCCTGACACAGGGCCAGAAATGCCACATAGTTTGTAGCCACATGGCCAGGATACACAGAGGCAAGCCCAAGCCCTTTTGGCTACTATACCCTGTGCTGCACTTCCTCCTCTCATGACACCTGCCCACTGGCCCAAAGGAGCAGAGAGTGGGCAGAGGGAGCCATGGGGTGTACTCTAGTCCCCTAGGAAGCATTTCAGAGTGGATAAAAGGCTAGGATGACAGGAGAGGATCAGAATATATAAAACAGGAGGGAAAAGGTATTGCAGCAGTGGCCTTACCTTGGGGCTGTCTTCTTTAGTGCGATGGTATCTAAACATAGAAAGCAGGGCATTAGGAAGGAGGCAGTAATCAATGTGCAGTTCACTCTGTGTCAGGCAAGGGGGAGGGTGTCAGAGCCGACTGGACTTAGGCAGGGCTGAGAGGTTCCCTGGGTTAGGGCCACTGGAGGTATTGGTCTTGAGCTGAGTACCCTGACCCCACCTTTGGCACTGTCTGTATTTCTCTATTCAGATCCTGTCAATGAGAACTATTAGTTCAGTATGCAGGTGAGACAGAGCCTTCACTGGAACATCCCTTCCTGCTTCATTCCTTGCCTCTTCTCCATGTGCAGCTCCTACTAACTTCTGTCCTCAGATCTGACATGCGCCTCACTATGTGATGAAGTGGCTGTTTGCTATTTCTCCTTCCTTGTTCATAGGGATATAAAATCAATGGTAAACAAACTCTTATGACTAATTAAGTCCCTCATGCACTTGGACATGTGAGCATCTCAGAAAGCCCCCCGAGTGCTACTGCTCCCCCTCTTCCAGGCTCAGATACCACCTCCCATGCCTTCTGTATCTCTTCACAGATAATCATCAAATCTTCCTGAGATGCGGTAAGGTGTCCTTCTCATCTTCAGGAAAATCTCATAGAAAACTGCATCATCATTCCAAAATGCCTTATATGGGGGTCGTTTTTTCAGGTCCCACCTTGAGAAAAGGGGGTGTGAATCATGGTTTCTTTTTGCTATCAAAACTCAAACTAACAGCTCAGCACCTGCCTGAGATATGCCACCCTACGGGTATCATGGGACACAGAACCCTGTGGGGTTCATGAAAGCCCAACTCTCCTTGGATTAATAAAACTTCCCCAATTTATTAAAAAATGTCATTTGGCCCACATGATCTGCACTGGCAGCACCTTCCACCCCCACCCATGCTAGAGCCAGCCTCATTACCTCCAGGGATCAATTTTATCTTTCCCACCCTTCTCCAGGAAACGTGATTCTTACGAAGATCAGAAACAACTAAATAGAAAAGCACAGAGATGGAAAGACAGAGACATAGGGTGTGGGGTGGGGGTGGTTACTGTATTACTATTTGGTCCATGATTTTCTATTCTTTCCTACCAAGTGTTCTGGAGTTGCTCTCAGTGCCTTGTGCTGGGTGGCTGTAGGGAACACACCCTTGTCAGAGAGAGAGAGCCTCAGTTGAGTGTCACTGTTTGCTTACCATTGAATCTCAGGTCTGAGGAATCAATATCAAACAAGTGCTTTTTGATCATGCAGATCTTCAGGGCCAGGAAGCCAGCTAATATGGCAACACCCAGAGCTGTCCCGATGATGGCGTATTTGATATCTGAAGTGCAAAGAGGAATTGAACAATGGTTTCAGTGGATTGCTACACTGAAAAGGTCTTCTAGGTTCCCTTTACATACTGGATGAAGTCCAAAGTCATGCATATAGACTTTAAAATTCTACCCTTCGACCTTTGAGGCCAACATAATTTTCTGCTCTCTTGAGGGCACATTCTTACCCCCCCACTCCTTTACCCACATCCCATCCCCTCTTCTTGGAACTCTACCCTTCAGCTGTGGAACTCACTTCCAAGTAACTAATCATTCATTTATCTTGCCTCCTATACTCCTTTTTCACTTACACTTTCATTAATTCTTTTATCAAGTATGTGTTAATTGTCTGCTGTGTGATGAGCGCTGATGGCAAAGGAATGAGACCTGCTCCATCTTGGCCAACCTGCAGTCAGGTGGGGAATACAAGTCTCAATCCAATGCCAGGGCTGGGCTGGCTGACATGGGTTTGGCAGCTTTCTGGGAGGAGGTAACAATGCAGACTTCACCTTGCCAGTGTAGGAGAACTCTGAGGTAGAGAGGAGCCGGGACTATGCAGGCAAAGAGAGTGGGTAAGGGCACAGAACATGGCAGAAGCTGCTGTCTGGGGATCAAGGCCATAGTACAGGGCACTCTAGGTGCTGCAGCTGCTCATCTCACAGAGTGTAAACAAACGTGGCCCTGATGATTCACATTCTCTTTGAGGACAGTCTCCTGAGCAGGACAGTATCCCTGTGATAAAGGGCAGGCCTGAAGGTGAGTGCTGCCCTTCCTTATTCTGTGATGACTAGCCTTTTAGAGTGCCTCCTTCTTGCCCCTCACCTCCCACGCAGAATCAGCTGGGCACTGACCTACCAGTTTCAGCCTCAGCTGACTTGCCTGTTGCTAACACTTGAGCTCCTCCAACATCTGCAAAGAAAGAAGACCCAGAGTCTGGTTAAAACAGAACTGCTGGCCAAGGCCCTGTCCCCAACAGCCCCTCACATACTTCTGGGAAAGCTCTGCCACACATGCCCCTCCTGCTTGGCCATCACCCTTAGGAGCACAGAGGTGGGCCCCTGGTTGTCACAGAGTGTTGTGGAGCCTTGCTGGAATTTTGGAGCTCTCTTCAAAACCCAGACCAGGAGAGAAGGCTCCGTTGAGTTCAGTAAAGCCAGCTCTTTGACATAGTTTCTCAAACCCACACTCTGACCTTGCCTGCTTCTCCAGCCTCCTCCTCCTCCATCACTCCCACAAACCCTCATTCTGGTCAGAGTGAACTGCTTCCAATTTCTTGCACAGGCCAGGCATCTGCTGCCCTTGGGCCCTCTTCCCAAACCCATCTTCTCCCTTCTGCTGTGTCTCATCTTGGTTCCACGTCACTTTCTCCCACACCTGGCTAAGCTACCCTGAATGCTCCACAGCAACAGTATTCACCCATCACAGCTGATCACATCATTTGTTGAACAACTCATGGAGCACAGCTTTGTGCCACATGCCCTCCTAAGATCTCCTCATCTATTAACCCACTGACTGCATCTTCTAGCTCATCTCCCACTGGGCTGTACATTGCCCTGGGGGATATTCCACCTGCAGCATTTGACACAGTGCCTGGCACATTGGAGGTATGATACACATTTGCTGAATGGATGAATGAATTAAACAGAGCATGTTGAAGGGGTATCTCACTCTTCTAGTCAAGGCTTGAACACCTAAGACAGGAGATATGTCTTGCACGTAGGGCTGAGGTCCCTGCAGACAGACCCTAGGAGACTTAAGGCAGATCTGCCAGCCTGGAGAGGAAGACACACATTAATTGGCAACTTGCTTTGAGGCAGATATTGGTACAGCACTTACATTAATACATTTAATACTTATGGCAACAATTCTGTAAGATGGACACTATTATCATTGCCACTTGATGGATGAGGAACAAGAGACACTGAAAACATGATGATGTACTCAAGGGCTAGAAGTGGAAAGTCTCAGGGGCTGGGTCTGAACTCCAGGGAGACCCTTCAAACACAAGTTTTAGGGAGATAAGATAATGATGCCAAAACATTAAGGTCAAGGGCTGGAGGAGCTTAGATAGGAGGTGAGTGGATGATGCGGCCCAATCCTGAAACTCAGATTCAAGCTTTCAGGCAAAGTCAGAAGCAGGAAGTACCATAAACCTTGTTTTTCTTTAAAGGGGGCAGGTGACCTTGTTGGGAGGGTCATCCCAAACTTAGTTTCAAGAGAAGACCGCCTCCCCAGCCCTGACCTTCTGGAGGGTGAACAACGGCTGAGGCACTTGCTCCCTAAACAAGCATTGACCACCTGTGTTGACCATGTGCAGTGCTGCCTGGGGTGCTATGTTGTATTGACATGCCACAGAAGACATCTTCTCTTTAGGTGACATGAGTGAGGAAGGGATCATCATGATGAAGCTTAGGATTTGTCTGGTGGCCTCACTTGGTGAGTGAATAAAGCTGGGGGATTCTGATGTAAAAGTACACAGCCTATTCTACTCAGAAGTCTGCTTGGAAATTTAGTGACTCTTTTCTGTGCTCGAGAATTCCTGCCTGCCCCCAACCTGTGGGACTGGTCCACTTACACACACCATAGACATTCCTGTGCAGAACGTGATCCTAGTTTTGCCATTTCTCTAAAACCCTCACTGAGCTTTCTTGTTTCTTTACATAATTCTTTATATTAATCCTGCTGTTCCAGCAAGGTTGAAAACCAATGAACAAAGCCTTATGTTTTCCATGTACCTGAAATGAGTTCACTAAACTAAGGGGCTGTGGCTGGGAGCTGACTTGCAGACCAATGCCTGAGAGTGAGAGCTATACATGCTGCACACTCACCCTATCTCCTTTCCCAGCACCAGTCTGGCCATGCTCTTCCCCCACTGGACAGAAGGCAGGGCAATGGTGAGTGGTACCGACTCACTAAGAGACAGCCTTTTCTCCCCCCCCCCCCCCATCACACACACACACAAACACACAACACTTTCCTGGCTCCCACCATTGCTCTTCATATGGAACATGTAGTATAAAACTTCATAGAAGCTCAAGATGAAACCTGGACAGAGAAAGAAGAAAGGACACAAAACAGAGTAAATAAGAAAAAGAGCCAGAGACCCTGAGAGAGATACACATAAAGACACTCCAGGAAGCATGTCCACACAGGTACATCCAGGGGCTGTGCTGAAGCAGCTCAGCCTGCTGGCAGGAAGGTCAAGAAGGGACAATGAGGAAAAATATCCAGTCAAATAGGGCCTGGTTGCCCGGCATCTTCCCTAGTCCCACCTGCCAAATAATAGTCCTAAACTCTCAGCTCCTGACCCTCTCTGGCAGGGAGTCCATGACTGGGGGTTCAATTCAGCCTGACTCCTCCCCCAACACAGGGTTGATGCCTTAAGTCACCACCATCCATGCTCCATCTGTGTCCACCAGAAGCCTTGGGCCAACCCTTATTCCCGGCCCCAAATTGGCTCTCGAGACCTGCCTGCCTCAGGTCCAGGGTCAGGAGCTAAGTGAGTGCACTCATGGGACCACTGTTCCGACAGCTGCAAGCAAAAAAAACCTGGCACAAAACCATGCAGTGCACTCATACAGGCCATATTCTCTCCCAGGAATCCCTGCTAGTCAGTTCAGGCCACTTGGTGACAATGGCAGCAGTTCCCCTCCTGGGAGAGGAAAGTACCTCCATACAGCCCAGCCCTCTCCCTATACTCTGCCCCTCTGCCCTGAGCTCTAATGAGCTCCTGGATGAAGATCCATCCTGAGTACACCAGTCTGATGCCCCCACCCCTGCCTCCTGCCAAGGTCATGAGCTGTAGATTCCCTCCTGGGCTATGGACCCGCTAAAAGCTCCCAGGCGCCCTTTTCCCCTGGCTCTGCACAGTGGCTGGAGGATTGATGGCCCTGGCAGGGCTGTCCTGTGAGTATAGCCAGGGGACTCTAAGTTCTCCCATGTTTGGATCTATGAGAGACCCAGGAAAAAGCCAGAAGCCACTGCACTTGGAATTCTCTGGGTTCTCTTGCAAACAGGAGGACAGAGCATAGAATTTAGAGGACAGGCTCTCAAACCCAGGGGAGAGTCCAAGGGGGCTGAGCAAGGGCTGGTTGTCCCAAGGCTGGACTCCCAAGGCATGCAGGGACCCTGCTATCCAGTAGATGCACAGGACAGTAGTAGGCACAATGCTGGCCAAATCTGACTTGACTGTTGGCACTCCTTGGACTGGCCACACTGATCCAGGTATAGAGGGCAGGAGCAGAGGTCCCTGCATGCTGCCCTTGCTGCTGCCTAGAACAGAGAGTTGGGGGTTGCCTCTAGATGGGCTCGCCAAGGTTCTAGTGTGGCTTCACCCACATAGTGTCTGCATGTACCCAGGTTTCTCCCTGAACCAAGGAGCTCCCACCAAGCACACTCCTGAGGCTATACCTGCCCAGATGCTAGTTTCTTTTTATAAAGTGCACAAAGACACTTATGGCTCTGAGTCTAGGGTCTCTGCTTCCTCCTCGTGCCCATGTGGAAATTCTGTTGTCAGATGACATGATACTCTACCCTCCTTGCCAGCCCCTCTCTGCACCCCCTCCCACTTTAGTCCTGCAGAATGCAACCTGCTCTCTGCAAACTCCTAACAGGAAGAAGTGTCCTGCAAGAGTAAATGGCCCTGTGGCCAGACAGCTCCCTGGATCTGGTGCTGCTAGGATGGAGAGGGTAGCCAGCAGAGGAGGGCAGCAAGCAGGACTCTTTGGGACAGTGAACCGAAGACACAGTGTAACCTTGGCCTGTCTCAATTGAAATATGACCCTCTGAGAGCCCATCCCTGACATTGAGACCTCCCATGCTGTACACATCTGCTGGGCCCACCCTCAATGGGGGTTGGCACTCTTCAGTACCCTTATTTGGGCATGATCAAGCTGTGTGCTTCCGGTGTAGGGCAGTAGGAGTACATGACACTCAGATGTCATTCTATATGTATCTGAACTAAAAATAGGGAAAGGCTGCCCTGAGTATTTTTCAACTGATGCATGGCCATTTTCATCTTGGAACTTAAATATTGCAGAATGGCTTCTAACTTTAGATTTCATGAATTCCAACATTCTCAGCTAGAGGAAAGAGTTTCACATATCTAGGAGAGGCATCCATCATCTTCTAATTGAGTCCACACATAGAAATGAAGTATTTGAAGTGTGCTCTGAATGGCCATGGTGCCCAAGAGCAACTCAAGACTCCTGTCTCCCATGAAGGAGTCCAGAGAATGACAGGGAAGACCAGATTTACACTAAAGAAAAAATCAGCATGTCATTGGTGATGTCTAACACCTTCCTGCAAACCTCGATCTCTACAAGCTAAAGAAAATCTGAATGGATATGTGGAGTGGACACTTGTGTGTGTGGCTTGCCCACCTCCCCTGACCCCTCAGCTGCTGGCAGCACCTGGGTTTTCCTTTGGGGAGTAACCTGCATGTGAGTCCCTCAGGGCTGGCTCCAGGATATTCCTGTGCCCCACACCTGAGTAATTAGCATATCCCTTCTTCCTGTCAGCAGTAGTTGGTCAAGGGGCAAGGCAAGTGATCCAATTCAGGTCAGTAAGTCTCAACTCTGGGACTTCAGGGAAAATATTGAGAAACAAAAGTGTTTTCCAAAATTGATAATAGTAGAACTGAGGGTGGCCCACTGGGTGGAGGGAACCTGCTGAGACTGAAGACCCCCCAGAAGAGCATCAGGCTGAGACTAAGTCCTAAAGATAGTTTTTGAGCCCCTGAATGCAGCTGTGCCTAAAACACCTTTGAAAGGATCAGAAAAAGCCCCTTTCAGGCCCTCTTACCAGTGCTAGCTCTCTCTCTTTCCTTAAGTCTGTCAGGCATAATTAACTGTTGTTTCTCTGAGGCTCTATTCTCAGGACTGGGAAGATTACTAAAAGCATCCCCCATG